CCGAAACGCGGGCCCGAGTTGTGATAGCATGTTTGCGTGACAAGCAGGAGGTGAGCAGAATGCGATTGAATCCTTCATCATGTGTGTCGGCACTGCTTCTTGAAAGCCTGCTCACAAATCATCTTGTAGTGGAGGCCAAGCAGGTTGACATGTGGACATGGGAAGCCCTCCGGGCTATTTTTCGATGTCCTACCAGTGCGCCAAGTTGTCCGCACTGCACTGAAAAAAGCATTTGTTAAATTTACTCAATTTTATTGTGTCGAGTGGTTGCATGGAATAAGATCATCTGGTTGTATAGTCTACTTTTATTTTGTGCAGCCACTTAACGAAATAAAATCGAGTGAATTCAACACGTTTTTTTTCCCAGTGTAAAAATTCAGCTTTGAACTACGCGTTTTGAAAAATAATCGAATTATGACTTTTTCTCCCCCCTCAATGTTGCTATTTACTATGCGATTTCTCACATTTGATTTAACAAGGTCAGAATCGGTTATGCAACACTATTTTTTTGAAAATCTCAAAGCTCTTCTCCTCGTGTGCTAAATTGTCTCACGAGTGAGACTTGAGCGCGCTAGCACAGGATATCAAATGTTTTAACGGCTGGCCATGTGATAATGCGCATACATTTCTCTGAGCTCCCTTTTGTGTTTGACATTTATTTTACTAGCCCATAGAAGTGGAAAGCTTTTTCTATTATCTTCTCCATCAAAGGAGGCGTCCAGTACGTGAAACAATTTCCATGTGCTAATCCCCCAATGATGGTGGCTCCCCTTGATTTAACTGTCTTATGACATTTTTTTTTTCTCCCCTGCTGGTAAGCCTCACTAAGCGGATCCATGTAATGGCCACAGAGGTTGCGTTTTTCCTTGTTGTGCTCAGTGAATGTCTGTGCTTGTTTCCATCGGACATTTTGAATCACTGAAATTGCACTGATTCTATTTAAGTGTCTTTTTAGTGTGTCCCCCTCCCCAATTCTTCCGGTTTTTGAACAAAATGTTGGCGTCAAATGTTCTCTTGTGCAAAAGGTCACCCAAAGCATTCCATCGCAATGATTTGTCAATACGTGTCGGTTTGTCATTCTACGTCAGTTTTCATCGAGGGCTAGTTCTCAAAGTCACGACATTGTCAAAGACACACGTGCTTATTTTGTTGCAAAAAATGCACACGCAAAGTTTTGCACTGATGTGATCAAGCCGCAGCTGTCGGGTCTACTTTCTGGTGTCAAAAAAAAAAAAAAGTTTGGAGTTTTACAGTTTGTGTAAACACACCAGCCACTTTAGCAGGTAACAAAATGTTCCTGCCATTTGAACAATGGACTTTTTCTACTCCCAGCCCCGGTCCCCGTCAGTTGTCTTCATCCAGACCTCCTTGAGCAGTTCTAGTCCTACCATGCTTTTGTCTCCTGTCTTCTAGAACGCTGCTTCTTCTCGCCTGCCTCGTCCACCGTTTTGCTGTGTGTAGACATGTAAACACGAATGATGCTCGTGCTCGCCTCGACCATCACCGTTGCTATTGGATAGATGTCGCTCTTGAACGCTTCTCGTTACAGTCTTGTGTTAGCGTTAGACTCCTCGTGCCGTAGATTTCCAGCCTCGTCCTGTACTACTTTCGTTTTTTTCAATCTTTCTTAGTGTGTCTCACTTTTTTTTTTTGGCAACATATTTGGAGGCTACTGGCCTTGTTGTTCGGCTTTGCGCTATTCCCTCTTTTTGCTTTGTAAACCGGTCTCATCTGTGCCTCTGTTGAAGCAGGTCAGCAGCCTATGCGGCATCTGCTCAGGCTCTTGAATGTCCACAGCAAATCATGTGATCATGGGGCCCCAAGTTGTCCCAATTTGATGGAGATAGTGGGGACGATAATGTAATTCACAGCTGATCAGTGTCAGCTAAAAAAAAACAACGCTTTTTTCCCCCCTCTCAATTTTTAGAGGTCACAAAGCGACAGAGACCTTGCCAAATGCAACAGCAATAGCTTAGTTTTATACTAAACAATGAAATGATGCAGGTTTGTTAGTCGATGATAAAAAGAAATAAGAAAAAACGGGCCGCTGACCCGGATGTGGAAAGATTTTGCTCACGTGGACGACAGTCAGGACAATCCGTAAAATACTACAAACTAAGTCCGAATTGAAAGAGCGACGGGTTAACAAACGTGACACGTTTAGACTACCTTCAAATACAAGCCTCGCGTGTGTCAATTCTTTTGTGACAAGCACATTTGTGCCCCAAGGGTAGCATGGGTTCGTCATACAATTAAGACTTCTCAATAAGAATGTACATTTGTTGTTTACTGTGGAAGAAATCAAACGGGCTCGAATGCGGAAAAAAAATGTGGTCGGGACACCTCTACTCAGCACTTTCATACAAGATGTCGCCGTCAAGCGTGTATTCAATTCATCCCGGGAACTTGACCACGTCCTGCTCTGCGCGCGCAGTTCTCCTAAACAAGCAACATCGTCAAGGTGACATTTAATTTACTTTACTTTACTTTAAGCGACTGAATTCCTTTCGCGTAGCATCTGAAAGGCGCGTTCAGCTCTTGCGTTCCCGCTTGGACACCAGAGAGTAAAGCAGTAAAATGTTTCACCCCCTCTGCCCTCACCTAACGGGCGAGATTAAAAACCACACAAAACCTCTCCGACCTGCTCCGTATGGCAACTACTGTCACTTCTGCAGTTTTGTATTTCATTATTTCCTCTGCATGGTGCCCGGTCCTGTGTGATGTGACAAGCTCTCCTTTGTCTCGGGAGACTTTGATTTTGCCCCTTCATGATTGGCGAGTTCATGGGCTGTGATCCTCGGCTCGATTTCATGCTGGTTACTGGTCGGAAGGAAAACACGGATGAGCTTTGAAAGTGACGTTCAAATCAGCGAGTGCATGGTTGTAGCGTTGATTGTTCTTTTTCTAAACAGCATGATGTGACGGTGACCATCAATTTTTACCACAATTCCCATATGGAAACCCCTCCCCATATATTTTCGGTGGGCTCACTACTGTTGTAGATGAGCCGCAGCAGCAAAGTGTCCCGAAATGTGTCACGTTGTCTAAGTTTTGTTGTGATTCTGCCGCCATCTAACGTTCACTTCTTGTATTGCAGCTTTATGGAAAAAATCTGAAAAGAGGTGGCATTTTTTTTTACATCATATCCTGCACTATGCTCATTTATGCTTTTTCAAAATTGAGTGAATTATGGAAGAGATATCAGCGGCACCGATGTAATATCACTGCTCATGTACACCTCCCTCTTGTCATTCAGTGATGCCAAACGCTTTTTGAGCTGGTGCCACCTTTCAATCGGTTTCCTTGTACATGATTTCTATTTATTTAATGCAGAATTATATGGATTGTATCGAGCATGGAAAGGCAAAACGACAAAAATCACAGGCTTTTATTTTACAGCAGTATATTTGTTTATTCAGAGGATTGTTTTTCTGTCTTTTTTTGGAAGAAATAAAGTCATTTTCCATTACAAGAAGAGTGTCTTGTCTTCATCCTTGAGCGATGGCATGTAATTAATAGACTCATTCACTTTGTGTCAGTCCCGTCAAATGACGCGCATGTTAGTTTTGTTGAGTCCACAGTAAGTCTCGGCGGCACCGCGTCCAGAGTGACAGCTGACCCCCACCACCACCAGAAGGAATGTTCCCCCAGCCTGCAGATAAACCTCAACAGCTGTAGTGCGCAACAGGAGGGAGGTGAGCTGCTATTTTTGTCTTTCTCCCAGCCAGAAAGAGAAGTGTCCACTGGGAGAGCCTCCCTTTCGCCTTCTGGATCTCTCCTGAACACAGAAACTTGCGGAGAACCGGCCACTGGACTACAAGAAGTCAGAGGCACCCGCGGCACGGCGGACGGGTCGTCATGGCGCTGCTGTGCTACAACAAAGGCTGCGGGCAGACATTTGACGCAGACTGCAACGAGGCCGGTAAGAGTGTGAATGAATGTCTGGATCCACGTGAAGTTCTTCAAGTTCATTCATTCTAGTTCAGCTGATCCCCAGTGAGGAAAAGCTTTTTTTTTGTGGGGGGGTACTTTTTTTCAAGCAGTTTAATGCCACTCGCTGTTAACCTTAACTGTCAAACGCAAAACAAAGATCGTTGTATGTGTGAAAAAACAATCGTCTTAAAGGAAGCATTTTTTTAAATGCTTATATTTTATATCTATATTTATTTACTTTTTGTCTTCTACTTTCTCCCTTTCATAATTTTATTTTATCTTATGCTAGCCTAATGCTAACAAGTAGCGATGCCGGTAACGCCTCACCCTAATCCTTTTTTTTTTCACAGCAACAATTTATCTCATGTGGTACTTTTGTATGTGAAGTCATCTAATGACAGTGACTTCAACACTGTATTGCGATGAACAATGACGGCAAGCATTTAAGAGAAAATTCTCAGCTTTCCCTCTTAAATTGTAATGCTGTTAACTGCCACCTGGGTGCAGCAGTGAGTGACAATTGACAACCCTTGAATAGGCCTCATAATTTTTCAATAAGTTTTCCCTCACGCGTGTCAATAGAATTAGATCAAATACAGGTGGACACAACAATTAATAACAAGTGCAATAGATGGAGCAGTTTACCATTGATTTACTACACTTTTGGCAACGGAAATATGAACAAACAGTGCAGCAACTTGTTAAAAGATACTCCCAGGCATATATTATTTATCCTCTGTGAAAAACGACTATTATTACTACAGTTTACTGAATCACGTGAGTCAGTTTGGACATGGTTGCAGTACTCCAGATTGTTCTCTCTCTTTGCAAAGATTCCTGCCTCTTCCATCCCGGAATGCCCATCTTCCACGATGCTCTGAAGGTAACACATGTCACGGTGCAAAAAAGAGCAGAATAAATTGAACATTTCCAAAACGTAACTGCTTCTTCAGGGGTGGTCATGCTGCCGCAAGAGGACGACAGACTTCTCTGAATTTCTCTCCATCAAGGTAAAACTCTTAAAGGATTTGATTTTTTTTTTGGACATTGTGACCTGAAATTTTTTTTCTTCATAGGGCTGCACCCGTGGGCACCACAGCAATGAAAAGCCACGCGAACCTCTGTTACCAGAGGTGTCGTCTGACAAAGCTGGCAGCAAAAACTCCAATGGCCAGGAGATCATCTACCGGGGACCCAAATCTTCTGAAAAGCTGCTGAGAGAGAGACCAAGGTGCGTCGTGTGCCAAGTAATGTCGTTGCCAATGATTCTGGCCACACCTTTTCAACATATCATCTGGTGCGCATGCACAGTTCAGAAGAACCCAAGAGCAAATTGCCCGTCAAAGTGGCACCGTCCCTGGCGAAGGAGCTGGAGAAACTGGACATGAACGAGAGGGCTGAAAAGGAGAAGAAAGGTATGAGGTGTCAATCGGCCAAATGTTGACTTTGCCTTTGCGGTTTTTGTAAGCGTTTGTTTGCCAAGGCTCAGAAGTTCACATTGAAACGGTGTTGCAAAAGTGCCTGGCCTCAATTGGTGAATTTACAAAACCTAAAAAATTCAATACTGTCTGAAAAATGCTTTAAGCAAAATAGAAAACCTAAAGTGTTTTTTTTTTTGTTTACACATACTGAAACTTATTTTTCTTGTTTTGAAATTTTGCCAGAGAGCCAAGGTGTGGTGCCAGGCACACGATGCAAGAATTCAGGATGCAAAACAGTAAGTGAGCCTTTTTCTTGCGCGTCTCTATGAAAGCCACTGTCAGGACCCGACCAACCCATGCCCCACTTTGAGAATCAATCTTCAGCAATGTGTTTGTGTCTTCAGGTCTATCAGGGCCCAGAAACTGACCTCGAGGTCTGCACACACCACTCTGGTGCGCCGGTCTTCCATGAGGGGTAAGACGTACTCAAAGGGTGTCAAAAGTATGTGCTCAGGATCATCCCGGCTGATGGTGTGTCTGTGACTTGCGACCTCAGGTACAAGTACTGGAGCTGCTGCTGCATCAGGACCATGGACTTTAACGCTTTCCTGGACCAGAAGGGCTGCATGGCCGGAAAACATCGCTGGGTCCCAAAGCAGGTTTGTCACAAGGGAAGATGCGAAAAAAGATTTTCACTCTACCTGTGAGTCAATGTTTGTGTGCGTGTTGACAGGACAAGAAGAAAGTGGCGTGTCGACATGACTGGCACCAGACGGCGAAGAGCGTCGTGGTGACGATCTACGCCAAGAACGCCAACGCGGAGTACAGCTGCATCGAGGCCAACGGGACGGTGATCTCCTGTCACATCCAGTTTGAGAGCGACAAGATCTTCAAGAGAGACTTCCAACTTTGGGGGGTGCGTAAATGCGTAATCGCTATCACAACTGCTATCATAGCTAACACTGGTCAACAGCAAATTTTAATCGGCAACGTCTTTATGTGTCCTTCATGGTGATCCAAAATGTCCACGTTTTCCAGTAATGACTCACGTAACGCGTTGCTTTTTCCAGTCAAGTAATCAGATGACAGTGACTCTTTTATGGATCACAAAAGATGACGAGGTAAAACTACGAGTTCATGAATAATGAAATGGAAGAGGACACCTGTTTCCAAACACCAAAGTACTCAATAAAGCCACTCAAAAAATAACTTTACATTCGGTTTTCAACACATCGACGACTCGCATGTCCATACCGTAGGCCAAAAAGAGCAATGGAGGAAGGCGAGAGAGTCATGTTTTCAATCGACAAATATAATTCACTATTTTGAGTTGATGTCGGCTCTCAGGTCATCAGTGTTCAGCAGAGCGCCGTCAACATGGTCCCGTCGAAAGTGGAGATCACCCTCCGCAAAGCCGACGAGGTGGCGTGGGGCAAACTGGAGGACCCTAATTACAAGCCCGAGCCGGAGCCCGCGGCGGAAAACCCCGACAATGCCCCGGAGTCGCAACGTCCCGACTGGGACATTGACGACGATGACATCAGCGACTCGGACGAGGAGTGGGTCAACGACACTGCGCCCAAGACAACGCAAGTGGAGGCGGACAAAGGTCAACGACAGGCCCACGTTGAAGAGGTGCCGAATGTAACGAGGAAAGAGGTGGAGGAAGAGATGAGGAGGGCCATGGAGCACAAGAGGCAGGCCGAGGAGAAGCTGGAGGAGCTGAAGAGGCAGCAGGAAGAGGAGGGATTTGAAGACATGCCCGAACTGGAATAAGACCTGCAAAGAATGTAATAATTGAAAAGGTAGACCTTTTCTGCGTTATACCCCCAAAATGCTGGCTCACAAACTTCAAAATCATTCTGTCCGAAAATGTGAGTTTCCATCGAATAAAACATGTTCTTTGTGTAGTTGTGTAGTCATGTCACAGCATGTAGTAACTCACAAACATTGAGATATTTGATCAAAAGTTGATTGACATGTATTTCAAGTCAAGTCAACTTTATTGTCAAATGTGCTACATGTTTTAATTTTAATTACATTTTACATTTTAATTGTAATTAAGCTATTTTGCTGTCTCTGTGGCTCAATGGGTTGCACATCTAGCTATTACAGCTAACTAGCCGAACGTGAGCCCGTTTGTATGAATTTTGGTAAACCGTGTAGCACGTAGTACAAAATGTTAACAGCAGATGGCGCTCGATTGTTGCCTCTTCAAGAACCCCAACAGCGTTGGCAGACGTGAAGAAAAATATCTGCGCATGCTCAGTCGGGTTTAACCCTGCCCGGGGAAGGAGGCGATGATTTTGGTTGTGCTGTCGTGTATAATGTGTGCTCACACATTACCTGACAGACATGAACAAGTGTCAACACTAACCGCGGTGTGAGCGAATTACCCCGTGGGGTATTCTTCGAGGGACAGTTGGTCGCGAACGTCGCGGTATCGATCCAAAACATTTGGAAAATGGTAAGTTGTACGTTTTGATCGGGGGAGAAGCGACAATACGTGCTTGGCTAATGCTAGGAAGGTCTAAGGTTTCAGGAAGTGGCTCACCACCTGGTCTCTACCTTCACCTGGCATCTGGCAGCATGAACTGGAAAGTAGTTCTTCAGAAGCACACGGCAGTCTTATCATGGGCATTTTGTGGTTAAGATTCAAGAAGTCCGGTTTTAGTTTCGTTTGAAATTGAAGCCACTTATACTTGCTGGGCGTTAAAGCTCCAGGCTGTCGTCTGTGTCAACAATGAAAGTGGCAATGACAGCTATTTGGCAAGAGAGTCACTTTAAATGTTGTCATGTTCTTTTTGGAATATCGTTCGGCATAAGGGGAGAGACGAAGTCGCATGTCACTTCAAGTTACAGGTAAGGGCCAACATACCGTAGAAGAAAAAAACCCTAGTCAAGTTGGAAACATTTGCTCAGTCATATCCATTAGTAAACAGATTTCTTACACCAAAAAAAAAAAAAAAAACACATGACACGACAGAGGTAGTTTGAAATGTCAGCTGTCGTTTGGGCAATTTTTGTTTTGACATGACAGCAAACATTTGCACTGTATGATGGCGTTAAACTGCACGTCCCAACCAGCAGTGAAAAATTCTTGGGAAAAAAAAACATTCAAGATGTTTAGCTCCACTCCAGTTGGAGTCAGTTGTCAAACAAAGACCAATTTAAAATAACCACCTAGCATAGCGTTTAAACCCTACTAGGCTGCTTGTGCTAATTGGCATCTATGTCACGGTGCTTTCACCCTTGAAGCAACTGATCGAACATAAACGAAGCACACAAATCAAAGATAGCAGTATCAGAGTACCCGCAGTCATGTTCTTTATCCTCTAAGTAGAATGACTTCTATTAGTGTCGCACCGATGAGCTGAGAAAGGAGTTGAGATCTGTCAAACACTATATGCGTCTTTGTGTTATATTGCCCCCATGTGGACAAGGCAGGCAAACCAGAAGGACCATCACAACAGCCGTGAACATTCCAAAGCTTTTTACCCAAGCACAGTGAACTCACGCCGAGTCTTTTCCTCTTCTTCCTCCCCAGATGCGCTTCATGCTGCTGTTCAGTCGGCAGGGCAAGCTGCGGCTGCAGAAGTGGTACACGGCCACGGCCGAGCGCGACAAAAAGAAGATGGTGAGGGAGCTGATGCAGATCGTACTCGCCCGCAAGCCTAAAATGTGCAGCTTTCTGGAGTGGAGGGACCTCAAGATTGTCTACAAGAGGTCCAGTGTTAGCGCACTGAAATTTTGGTGGCACATTTTGCAGACTCAACAGATGAATGGCAAACGCCGTCAATGTTGTGTGCAGGTATGCCAGCTTGTACTTCTGCTGCGCTGTGGAGGAGCACGACAACGAACTCATTACGCTCGAAGTCATCCACCGCTTTGTCGAACTCTTGGATAAATACTTTGGCAGCGTGAGTCATGCGGCTCCTCCGTGTGTGTGTGTGTGTGTGTGTGTGTGTGTGTGTGTGTGTAATTTTGTGCAGCCCATGTTTGTGTGTGTTTTTGTATTTATGTAGGCAGAGTGTACCTTGTGTGTGTGTGTGTGTAGCCCATGTTTGATTCTGTGTGTGTATATTTTGTGTATGATTGTATGTACCTCGTGTATGTGTATGAATCACATGCATACACATGCGTGTACGATATATGTGTCGCCTATGTGTGTGTTTCGGTAGCCTGTGTGTAAGTGTTTAACCTGTGTGTGTAGCCTGTGTGAATTTGTGCGTGTATGCATTCGTGTGTGTGTGTGTGTGTGTGTGTACCACGTGTAGGGATCTGTGTAGCCTGTGTGTATTTATGTGGTGTGTGTGCAGGTAGGTTGTGTATGTTTTGTGGAGCCTTTGTGTCTATAAATGAGCAGTGTGTGTGTGTGTGTGTGTGTGTGTGATTTTTGTATTGTGGTGTCCCTATGTGTCTTTGTATTGCTTGTATGTATCCTTGTGTGCGCGTGTACCTCGTGTCCAAATCTTGTTGGCCCTATTTGTGCTTGTACTTGCTTAGGTGTGCGAGCTGGACATCATCTTCAATTTTGAGAAGGCCTACTTCATCCTGGACGAGTTCCTGATGGGAGGCGAGATCCAGGACACGTCCAAGAAGAGCGTCCTCAAAGCCATCGAGCAAGCCGACATCCTGCAGGAGGTCCTCTTCCTCACTTCACACTCCGCTCGGCCGTCTCACCCGTGGCCCTCGTGACCGTAACGTGCGTCTTTTATTTATTTTTGCCACGCAGGAAGACGAGTCGCCCAGGAGCGTCCTGGAGGAGATGGGCTTGGCGTAGTGGACGCTCGTGCATGGGACTGAACACTACTTCTGTGTGTCACATGTGGCTTGGCGACTGTGATGCACCGCGTGGGTACGAGCCTCGCATTGACACGTCCACCAGTGTGTGTGTGTGTGTGTGTGTGTGTGTGTGTGTGTGTGTGTGTGTGTGTGTGTGTGTGTGTGTGTGTGTGTGTTTGTGTGACAAAGTGCACACATCATTTGTTTGTATGTATTTCTATTTGTACGAGTGATCCGGAAGTGTATATGCTGGTCAGAAGCAAATGGGGGCAAACCTGAGTTGAGAAAATGCAAATTTTGATGATATCTCCAATACGAGAAGACCAAAAGCAGTTTGTTTGGTGCCCTGATTCCGAAATCGTGTCCGCTCTTGTGTGTCGCTGGCAGCTAAACGGTGGCAACCTGGAGTTGACTTTCGCGGACAACAACGGCACGTTTTTTTTTTTTTTTTTTGTCGGTAGGAACCAGACGGTTCAAGCCTATAGTTCGCTTTTCATTTGAGTTGTCCCACACGCCCCGTGTGGCGGCGTTTGCAGGCGACGGAAGCGCCGATGGCTCAAAAGTGTGCCTAATCAAACGTCCGTTGGGAATAGGGAACCAAAGACGTTGAACATCACTGCCGCAATTAGTGTCGCTACGCTGGGACCGCGGCATGACATCATCAGCTTTTGTCGTCCCATCAGGTGACGCACGCGTGACGTGAAAGGGAGGAAGATGCACTCTTAAAACTGCTGGGTCCAAAGTAACCCAAACTGGTCGATGCTAGCTAGCTAACCCAGCGCTGGGACCAAAAGGGACTGAGCCAGTGCATTGGGTGGAAGTCAACCTGGTATTTGCTCAAAATCCACAGCTACCCAGCTAGTGGGTTAGGAACACCACCCAGCATTTTTGCGTGTGCAGCAACCGCAAAGCTCATTTTTCTACGAGGAAGCTTACGGCCACTCTGGAATGTTTCTTTTGAGGGGAACGAGACCCGAAATGGCGTTGGGCCTGCGCCTCGTTCGCTCGAATCCTTTTTTTTTTTTTTTTTTGAAAAAGTCTAATTCTTATCGTTATGAAACAACTTTGTGTCTCTTGGAAAAGAACGTCCCGCCTTTGCGTTTGAGCACAGCGCTGCAGCGTCTTCTGTGTTTCGCAAGCTTCACTTTTCATCTTTACTTTGTATCTTGCCGCACTTGATGAATCGCTTTTTTGGGGGCTACTTTTTCCTAGCATGGGGAGTAAAAATGATTCTACTGTTCTGTTGGGTGTATGGAGGGTTGTCTCATTTCGGGATGCTGGCTTGCTTTTTTTTTTTTTTTTAAAAAACTTTTTAACATTTATTTATTTTTCTCGGCTTGATTAAAACTACATTCAGTAAGCGGCACAGCTGTGCGCATGTGTCGGTCAATAGCTTCATTTGTTTGCAGAACTCCAGCCAACACTGACATGTGATCGTTCAGCTCATGTCATGCAAATGCTTTTCTTTTTTTTTTTTTGTCTTTTTTTTTTTTTTGGGGAAGTGGGGGAAATATAATGTAGTAATTGTTGTTTTAAATAAATGAACCCCTGCAAGACTTTGGAAAGAAAAAAAGCAAGAGTTGTTTGTGGAGAGACACGCGAATGATGAGCTCCTTGGATCTGTTTTAACAGCTGTGAAAGCAATTTTATAAGTCAATAAAAGATTTCAAGCTCGTCTGAGTGTTTGTGGGGGCTGCTTTTGGTTGGGACTTTGTAGGTGCGGGGGGGTTTTCTTTTTTGTTTATGTGGTTTGTGGGGACGTGTGTTTGTCTGCACTTTTGGAAATTACTCTTTTCAGATAACCATGGCGGGCAATTTCCTGCACACAAAACAAACATTCAAAGAGAAAAAAAAAACCTGCAAAAGAATACGAGGGAATTGTACTTTATAAATGTGTCGTCGTCCCCAATTCCTGTGGAACCTTTCAGTCCGGTCTTATTCGACATTTTTAGTTGTTGCTGCTTCAGTTGCCTGCCATGGTTAGCTGAGAATGATGATTCAAAAAATGAAATTATGAAGTACTGAGTATAACAAATGCATCCCGAGTTTTGCATCCTCCCTGTGTGTGTGTGAGTAGTGCTGTCAAGCAATTCAAACATTTTTTTAACCAATTGCGGTTAACCACTTTTTTCTTCTACAATTTTTTTCCCCAAACAAAGCTTGTGACAAATAATTTACTTGAGTAAAATCTTGAAATTCATGTAAAATCATCAACTAAAAGTAGACCGATTCAAAGACTGTTCTAGAAGCGCCCTTTAATTCCTGAATGCAATTATTCTTCTGTTAAATGAAAGTGTTGAACAAAACGATCCAAACTGACTCCGCTTTTCAGGCATGGTTCTTACATTTTTCTCATCGAAACAATTCTCCAAAAGTTGTCGCTGAAATGTTTAGTTCTGCCCGTGAGCACCAACATCCAGCAGTCAGATCCTTCGAGCAGCGACACTGCAGCTCATCGATCTGCCCGGAGGGCGGGGGTGGGATCGACAAGACGGGGGGGATGCAGAAATTCCTTATGAATGAAACCCGGACCGGTGACGTCAATGGGGGCTCTTGACGCATGAGTCACGCGGAACGGGTGGGCGGGTATAAGAGGCCCTGACGCTGTCCGCGGTGCTGAAAACAAGACACGCCAGGAGGAGAGAGACGCAAGGAATCCCGACCGGCTCTTGTCATCAAAGCAAGTCGAAAAGCAATAAATTCGGAATTCCGAATAGACGGACAAGAACGAAAAAGGGAAAACAACGGGAACATACACACAGAACGAAAAAACGCGCGCACACGGACATTAGGAAGTGTGCTGTGAAGCGTGACAACAAGACTGTGACGTCCTAAGGAGCGGAGGCAGGAATCCCCCCACAGTGCTCCCACCTCAAGTGAGTAACAACTTCTTTTCATAATCATAAACAAACTCTTTGCAATGTTTAATGTGTTACTAAGTCAAGGCTGGCAATCGTGAAAAGAAAGTAAATAAGATAAGAAAACCTCTGTTTGTCTCACAATGGAGAAATTCCCAATTTACAGCAGCAAAATTATGAAAGGGAGAAGTAGAAGAACAAAAAGTATAAAAATAAATATAAATTATGAAATATGAATAGAACCACATTAAAAATGGGTGAGTCAGGGTGAGTCCAGGTTTTCAGGAAATAAGGAACTGGAATAATGTTTATGTGCAAATCGAATATGACTCATATTTGAGTATAATGTGATTTAAAAGCTGGATTATTCATGATGCACACATGAGATGTTTTGATTGTCCTCATCGTCTTCATCACTGTTATCGTGAGCGTGCTTTTACCACCACGACCCCCCGCCCCCACTTGTCAAAATAACCCCACTCAATGAGGTATGACTGCGACCCCAGCCAAAGCGAATAAATGCATGCTAATTATTCATTTATTTCAATGATGAGACAATGACTGCCTGCAATTGGGCATTCTTTTTTTTTTTTTCCATTTTCAACCGCAATGACCTGATCATGTCTGTTTGGCACGGCGTGCATCAAAAATGCTGCC